TGCTTTGAAGCGATACATGGAAGCTCATTTACATCTGAAAGCAGAGCAATTACAAAGAGCAGAAAATGTTAGAGCAGAACGCGACACGGTGCAACCATCATTACCCCCTTATAAAGCTTGCAAACTAAGCAGCGAAGAAGTACAAGCAAAGGTGGAAATTCTTCAAGAACTGATGTCTGTTAGAGCAGTATGGCCGCCAGTAGAAGAATTACATCGCCTTGGGGGTATAACGTTACTCCTCCAGATCATTGCCTTTGCCAGAGAATGGAATTACAGTGGTCGCGTTCACACAACTTCTAGCGCGGAAACAGTCCGTTCCTGTCTTGATGTAATAGCCATTTGTTCTGTTGTGCCAAAAGTGATGTTGTTACTTTGCGAAAGAGTGGATATGCCGGATATGTCGATGACAATGGCGATTAATTTACTTTTAGCTGCGGCAGAATGTGAAATCATCGCAGACGCTGATGTACAGAGAGCTGCGTTGCGAGCTATTATTAATTGCGTTTGCGCTCCAATAAACAGGATTGGCGGGAATGTAGCGCGATATTCGGTAACAGGATCCGATAAAAAGAAAGCAAATATTAATAATAGCGAAGAGTTAATACAAAAAATTTGGGAGAGTGTAAGATCAAATAACGGTATAATGGTTTTATTACAATTAATGATGGTTAAAACTCCGATCACTGATGCCGACAGTATAAGAGCATTGGCCTGTCGTGCATTGACAGGTTTGACACGCAGCGAAAAAGTCAGACAAATAATTAGCAAACTTCCAATGTTTACCGATGGACAAATTCAAGCTCTAATGAAAGATCCGATACTTCAGGAAAAGAGACAGGAACATATTACGTTTCAAAAGTACGCTTTAGAGTTGATGGAAAGAGTTTCTGGAAAAGCAAAGCCTACTGGAGCGGAATATGAAATTTCTTTGGTTAGCCTACATAAGGCGAATGTAGTTGCACAGACTAGAATACAATACAACGAACAGCAGTTAAATCAATTAATATACCAACACTTGATGTCGAAAGGTTTAACCGAAACTGCAGCAACCCTTCATAGAGAAGGAAGTCTAGAGACTTCTGCAATAATGAAACCAGTGTGTACATATCAACCGTTCATCTATCGCAGCCCTGGAACAGTCGGGACAAGAAATGGATTTTCTCCTGGAGCACCAGTTAATTTATATAATACAAGATGTAATCAGAGAGAAGTATCGTCTAGGAGCAACACCACTCCTACTTCGTCATCTAGATATATATCTCATACGAATTCTGGTTCAAGTTCGTCATCTCTATCTTGCGGAAGTAATATACGTCTGAAACTTTCTGACTGTCTTAATCAAAATGTTATCTCAAATAGCACAAATCAACCAATTAAACTACAAATTAACCAAAAAAAAAATCAAGTCGACAAGCAGCCTCTAGTCAATTCTATAAATTGCCTGTCAACTATGCAGCCAACTACGTGTAGATCATTACAAAAACAAATTTCGAGAGATCCTGGAGGTGGCGGGGGACCTGGCGTCACTACGTCCAGCCCATCTATAACATTGGATTCTATTATTACGGAATATTTAACTAATCAACACGCATTGTGTAAAAATCCTATGGTTACTTGTCCACAATTTAATCTCTTCGAACCACATAAATGTCCAGATCCTCGTACGAAAAATTCGACGCCAACAAATGTAACTGTAAGACTGTCCAGGAGAGCATTAGGAGTGGACGGTAGAAGATTGGATAGAAGACACATTTATAGTCGATTTTGTCCTGTAAAAACTTTCCGGCCTACAGACGTTGGAACCTTCACCTGTTGTATTTTTTCGCCTTGTCAGCAATATCTAATGCTGGGTACCTACGCAGGCGACGTAAAAATGTTTAATGCCCACACGGGAATGGAGGAAGCAACGTATCCATGCCACGAGTCCTATGTCTATCACATGGAATGTAACCAACGTGGAAATTTATTATTAACTTCCACCGCATGGAGAAGTCCCATGTCTGCGCTCTGGAGTATAGGCACATTTTTCGATATGAAATTATCTTTAGAGAACGAGGATTATATCGAATTTGGAAAACTTCAAGATAAAATTATTGGAACCCAAGCTGAAAGTGCTACAATTTACGACATAGCTACAGGAAAATTGTTAACAACTCTTTCCCCTTCAATTTCTAATCAGTACACCAAAAACCGTGCTACTTCTAGCATGAATGATGAACTAGTTCTAAGCGATGGTATCCTTTGGGACGTAAATTCGGGGAAAGAGATTCACAAGTTCGATAAGTTAAACCAAACGCTTAACGGAGTTTTCCATCCGAATGGTATTAATATAAATCATATAATTATTCAGTTGATAATATGAAGTAATATTAGAAATAGTTCGATAATTCATATTTGATATTAAATCATTTTGCAACAGGTACAGAAGTAGTGTCGAATACAGAAGTTTGGGATTTAAGAACCTTCCATTTACTGAAGACTGTGCCAACGCTTGATCAAATGGAAGTAATTTTCTCTCCTGTTAATAATATTATATACGCTGTGTCTTTGGATCAAGAAAATGGAGACGAATCACATTATGTTACCTCGTTTAAGACATTAGATGCTTTGGATTATAGTAATATTGGTAAGTTGCGTTGAATTTTATCTGAATTTTTCATAAGATTTTGAGTAAAAAATAACAATAATATCTTATGTATTTTTATATAATATTTCAATTATAGCAACTTGCGATGTCAAGAGAGGAATTTATGGGCTGGCTTGTAATAAATTCGACACACAAATTGCAATTGTCGAGAATCAGGGTGAATTCGATAGTGTTCAAGAATCATGCGTTAGGCTGTACGATGTTGGTAGAAGAAGAGACGATGAGGATGAAGCTGATGAAGATGACGATGAAGAAGACCTTGATGCAAGCGATGATGATGGTTCGAATTCTGGTTCTGATGATAATAATGCCGATGGTATGCACTTACTATATTACAATATTTACTTTAAAATATCTCTTTTATTTCTTCGTGTATAACATGTATGAACATCTCAATTTGAAAGAAGGTTTTGCTACGTAACAGTTACTTAATATTAATGATTACAATTTCACGTCTGGTTTAATCATATATCAATTTTATTAATAATTTGAATACTGAGTTATTTAGATAAATTCTATTGTGTCCTTAAGTACTTTTTTAATTACATTAATTTGTATTTCTTTAAGTGTAGTTTAAGAATATGTTTTTAAATAGATGCAGATAATCCAGATGCAGTAGCTGAAGAGAACGGCGATGAAAATGAACGAAATGATCGTGAGAACAACGACGACGACGACGATGATGACGATGAGAATGCAGTCGATGGTGACGACTCTGGAGACGATATGACAGATTATAGTCCGTCTTCAGAATTTCCTGATTACTCTTTGTCCGATGTCGATGATATTGAAATTTATTTTCCATAACTGTCCTTCAAGTTGGAAGTAACACATCACAAATTTTTATTTTAAACAGTTCCAATGCATTCTACAAAAAATGGCTTTATTTCATATTCGGCCAATCATGAGGCTGAAGGATGTTTTACCATAATATGTTCAATTATGACTTATTAATCATTAATTGGCAAAATAGATATACATATATATATATTTAAAAAAATGGGAAAAATATCGTGCAACAATCAATTAGTGGAAAGTGTCGTAATTCTCACTGTTTAGCTTATATACTTAATATTAAAACGATGAAATTGATTAAAAAATTAGTAAATTACATCTTAATTAAATTTTCATTTCAATTTTAATTCAAATTTAACGGCAAAAATTTTTATTTTGTTTGTACCAATCGTAATATTTAATAACCTTCAGTCAAACAAACAAAAATAAATTATCAAGATTGGCCAATGGAATAATTCTAAAATCGATTTACTCAGCAATCATTAAAATATTAAATAGTAAAAACAGGTTTGTCGCTGATGTAATTTTGAATTTTGATCAAATGTCTTGTTGATCAATTCAAATGTATATATTATTATTTAAGATATTCGTTGTTCAATGAACATGTATCGTATATTTACTAAAAAAAAAATTGGTTATTAATAAGAGATTCTCTTCCTCTTCAAGATAATCGCGAAAATTTGTATTGATCGATAGATCGTGTTGAAAGATCCTCAAAACCAAATTTTCGATTATTTTGAGACCTAAATTAAAGCAGTAAATTTTCAAAATTTTTTGAACGTATACTTAAGCATATGAAATAAAAGTATGTAAGAGAAAAATGAATGTGTTCGTGTACGTGCGTGAAAGAAAGAGAGATTGTAAAAAGTTGATTTAATCCTGTCGTTTGTTATCATTAAAGATTCGTGAATTTGTATAGACGTGCTCTAATAAATAGAACCGCGCTTTATGAAGAATTTCAGCAAGCCTATCAATGTTTGCGTCTCTTGATATTAATAATACGGTGTATCATTTTATTTTTCATTCATAAAACGCAAAATTTCGCATTTTTATCGATTCAGCTAATTATCTTATCGATCTTAATTATTCAAAACTCAAAATTCGAATATCTGTGCCAGTAAGTCTTAGTATTCAAGATTCAAGCACTTCAAATTATAAACATTGCAAAGTGGATATTCCAAACAATTTTATTTTTCTAAAATACATGAAAATTTGAATAATTAACAAAAATTGTTACAATGTGCTCGTAGTATACTTAGAAGTTTAATATTGAACATAATAATATAAATTATATCTATATCTTGTAATATCGGAATTCAAATATTGGCGCCACATCTAGCGGCAAGAGTAACAACCAATGAGAACCGTTTCTATAGAAACTCGCATCTGCTGTTAGAGGCGCTCATAATAGATTTAGAAGCAGTTCAGTTCAGTTCGTTCACCGCTAGATGATTGTGCGACGTAATTTCACTAGACCCTCTAATTGGAAAATTATACGAAAATTTTTGGTGCTAACGTTTACTTCGAGTTGGTGAATTTTATTTCGACGAAGTTGGTCACATTGATTTCTTTCGAGATGGCTGTTCTCAGTTCACGGTAAAGTCAGGTGGAATGGGAGACGTGTCCACAGTATATAAAAGAGCGATGCTACCGCGGAACGGCTTCTGAACTGGGGCTGATTTATTCGTTGGATTATTCCTATTGTTTTTATACTTAGACAATACGAATTATCCTCGCGATGGCCCTCAGTCAGACAAGCGTGGTGAGTAATATGAACAAAACCAGCGAACGATGAAAGGAACAGTTAACAATGATCATCTTAATGACGACAATGACGATTTTTATCGCTTGATCTTTTCTTATCACCTTCATCATTGTAATCCTCATCTTCGATCCTTTTTTCTCCGTTCAGAACTGTATTTTCTTTGTACAGTTTATAATGAATTCATATTATTTACGAAATCTTGATAACCATTAATTTTACATTTTTTTCATTTTAATATTATATTTCCAATGCCTTTTCTATACAAAATTTGATTCGAATATCGTTGCACTTTTATTCTAATTGATCGTTGCGAAATTTTGTTCCAAAGATTTTATTCGACAAGGTTAGGTTAAGATTGGCTGCAGTAGTTTTAACTTTTGTATGTTGTACGATAAATAGAAATGAAAAATTCAAAGTGTTTAAACGAGATAGAAAGTAACAAGTTGCTGTATAATTATTAGTACTTTTTCATTTCTTTCTAACAATTGGAATACATAGTTTCAGGAAGATGCATGCATGTTATATTAATATCGAAAGTAATAAGGAACTCGAATACGATGTTAAGTTGTTAATGAAATGTATATTCCTGTTACAGCTAAAATTATACAATACTGTGATAGAGGATGTTATATCGGGTGTAAGAGAATCATTTATAGACGAAGGTGTAGATGAACAAGTACTACAAGAACTCAAGCAAATATGGGAAACAAAACTAATGTCTAGCAAAGCCGTAGAATTAAATCCAGATCCTCCAGAACCTCAGGTCCCTCAAATAAATACGCATAAAGCTGTGCCTGTTAATAAAGGTAACCAAATATTAAGTAATATTACGAATATATCCCAAACATTATTTAAATATATAGCATCTAAAAATCTTATAATGTACTGTTGTTATAAATGTAAACAGTATAGTCTCTATTTTTAGGAGTAAATGTAGGAAACCATTTTGTACAACAAACCGGAGGAAATTCAGCTCCACAGCAAGCACCACAACAACAACAGCAGCAACAACAACCTCCACAGCAACCTCAGCAACAAACGCAAACTCAAACTCAATGCCATTCAACTACAACTGGTATGCAACAACATACTGGTACGCCAGTGCAACAGTTGGTGACATCTACATCGGCAGTACTGGATCGGCAAGTACCCATCCAGATAACTCTGCCACCACAAACCGGTGTTCCAGATGCTCCGCAAAGGGTTTTGACTATTCAGGTTCCTGCATCTGCAATTCAGGGTACGTTAAAATGACTTTCCAATTAATAATATTTATCATAATTCATTACCATATTAATGATCAATGAGAATATAAAGATTATGTATTTAAAATCTAATTAGCTCAATTACATTTGTGTCTAGGCAATCAGTTGCATACAATCTTGACGGGTCCAGTTATCTCGGCAGCAATGGGATTGCCAGCAAATTTGGCTTCTACATTGCTTCAACAGCACGTTAATTCTACGCTTCAGGGCCAAGCAACGCTAGCACCTCTCCAAGTTAGTCAGCCGCTTCAGGTTGTTACACAAACCACAAATAATGTCTCTCAACGACCTGTCCAAAATCAGGTAATTATTCTCAAAAAACTAGTTTATTTACAGTTATAGAGGTACTATCCATTTTGTACAGAAACGTTGCCTTTTTATCAGAAGTAAAGTAAAAGTTCTTTTAAATATATTTCTAGAGTGCTAAATATTTATCATTTTCTGAACAGAATAATATAGCACAATTAGATGGTCAACTCGGAGATTCATCTGACGATGACGAAGAAGAAGAGGAAGAAGATAACGAAGATGAAGAAGAAGACCTCGATGATAAGGAAGAAGAAGAAAATGACGAAGCTGCTGCAAGAGAAGAGGTATTGGAAGTACTTCAGCATATTCATCTGCTTCATAATCTTCGTATGAATTGAAAAACCTTTACTAAAATTCAGAAGATATTCAATATTGTAATCTTTTTTTTAGGAACCATTGAATTCTGAAGATGATGTAACAGATGATGACCCAGCAGATCTTTTTGATACTGATAATGTAGTCGTTTGTCAATACGACAAGGTACTTCTAAAGAAAATAATCACTTCCTTTTTGTTATAATGAAGATAATTTTAGGAAGACTTCATTATGCCTTAAAATATTTTGAATTTTTCAAGTTGCAGATCATTTTGATTGCTTAATTTATGTTTTTTTAAATTGATATTTATACTCGTTGGTGTTTCAAGTTTTTAAATGAATATCTATCCTAAAGTATCTTCAAAATATTTTCATTATGAAAATGAAAACTGTTAACTTTCAGATAACAAGGAGTAGAAACAAATGGAAATTCTACCTCAAAGACGGCATAATGAACCTCAGTGGTAAGGACTACGTGTTTCAAAAAATGAACGGCGACGCGGAATGGTAAAAAAAAAAAATAATATATGAAACTACGAAAATCGACCTTGATAATGTGTTCACGTGAAATTGGTATACAAATTTTTCACTAGATTTGTGCTCCGAGCAAAAGTTTAAAATTTCTTTTGGTGTGGAAGTAATTTTTTAAGATTAAGAAGGAAGTTCTCTATTATTTAAAAATTGTTTCTGATAGACACGAATAGAATTCTTATTCCTTTTGAGACAAGTATGTATTGGAACCTTGATTATTCGTATTAATAGAAAAATGATATACTGCCTCTATTTATAAATACAAATTCTATTTATAATTAAAGTGTAAATGATTTTTACATTATATTTATTTTTATTGGATAAACATTGGTAGCGATTATTAAATTTAAATTGAAAAGGAATGCGTAACTTGAACATATTAAATCAAATCAAAATGTATAAATATATCTCCGAAGGATCAAGATTTCAATGCATAATTAAAAGCTCAAGAATCAAGCGAATGCTAAACTATATTTTGAGGAGTCCCAACGGGTGTAGGGGGGAGGTTTTTCACGTGAGTTTAATGTGTAAATAGATTCTAAGGGATTGCAATCTACCACACGTATGTGATGCTCTTGAAAATAAATGTGTCTTATACTGTTAAAATTCTTAATACAAAATATTTCCTACAATATTATACATTGTTAATAATGTATAATTGTTTTTCCTTTTCTTATTCCTTATGCATAGATCTTTTATTTAAGGTAACTCTTGTTTTAATTTATTCAGAGAATTAGTAATAACAACATTAAGATAAGATCAATATTTTTATATTTAAATGCATTTATTAACCCTAGAAGTAATAATTTAATTGATAATTGAATGTAAAAAGTTATTTAAACGACATTGCTTGTATATAGCATTTAGGAAATGAAACTACTACGATAAATAAAGAACACGATTGTTTTATAGTTAATTACAATTGCGTATTCATAGTGTAACAAAATGAAGGGAGTCTCATTCGTTATAAAAGTTTTATTTTTATACTTAACTTTTTTAAATATATTGACAAGTGATGTTTTATATATTTCAGTTGGTACTAAATAAAATGTTTTCAGGAGATAGAACTTCCAGTGAAAAAATATTCAATAATTTCTTGCTAGACGAGTGCGATGATAAATATCTTTGGATCTCAGATAATCTAGCAATCCTACGTGAGAAGAAATGGAATCCCAACATGTCCTGATAAAAATATTTTACATCACTTGACATGAATCTTCCGATAAAATATCGCGAATAGAAATATTTGACCTTACACTTTTTATTTATTACGATTTATCTTCTATTTCGTTAATAATTCGTGGAACTTCTTGTAATAATTCCTCTGCAGTTATCTCAAAATTCTTATCCAACCAAATATCTTTCAGCGTTTTAATGATAATACCAATCGTTTTTCCCTTTTTAACTTGTCCCTTGAACATATGTCCGTTAACTGGAAATCTGAGAAGCCATAAATCGTATATATATGACAAGATAGAAGTAAAAAATTCTGTTCCAATTTTCAAACACATTTAATGTTGATTGCATTCTATATTTCTCACGTCACTCATTACTGTACCTGGGTATCCTAACTTTTTCAAACTCTGCAGCAACATCCAAAAGTTGTTTACATTTAAGTAATTCACAAATGTAACTCTTTCCGATATCTCTATTCCCTTTCCAATGAATGAGAATTCTTTTATAACGTTTCAGTACATCATCTGTTGGTACATCTTCCCAGAATCGAACTAAAAAGAATGCCAGGTCTCTTTCATACGCAGAAGTCTTTAGTCTGTTGTACAGTGCGAGTACTTCGGATTCATCTTTTAACATTACAGCAAGGAAAGTTATCGGTTGCAATGAAAAATTATGCTTTTTGGATATTTCATAAACAGTAGTAAAGTTTGTTACATTTGGACATTCTGGTAATGCGACATATCTTAAAAAATAATGTTTATTTGATTATTTACTATTATCACCATGATTATCAACTTAATGTTACCTTGCTATTCCACATTCCAACATTTTTAAAGTCAATTCCTTTATATAATTTCCAGAAAGAATTTTTTTCCATTCACTCCAAATTCTTTCCCCTGATATATTTTGCAATCCATTTATATTGTTTTTTATTGCAACTATTGTTGCCTCATCATGAGCATCTGGTTGCTCTGCAATTCTTCCATAAAAACGAAAATATCTGCAAAATAACAAAGTTCAACTTGAATTTCACTGCTGTAATGTATTAGTAGCAAAGGCAATCAAAATGTACCTGAGTATCCTAAGATAATCTTCTCTAATTCTAGTTGTTGGATTTCCTACGAAAACAACTCTTCTATTTTGTAAGTCATCATAACCAAAAAAGTAATCATAAACTCGTCCCTCCAAGTCAAGAAACATGGAATTTATTGTAAGATCTCTACGAAGAGAATCCAGTTTCCAATCTTTTATAAATTGAACTTCTGCATGCCTACCATCGGTAAGAATATCCATTCTGAGTGTAGTTACTTCAAAATTTACCTTATCGTTTATCCTCGAAGTAACTGTACCTGAATATGTAACAATAAATTAAATTTCATTGTTACTATGATAATATAAAATAATAGCACTTTCCAACTTACCATGTTTTTCTCCTTTATTATTAATCATTCTAATCTGTTCTTCTTCGAACATAGTCTTCATTTCCTCTGGTGTAGCATCGGTCGCAAAATCCAGATCCACTGGTTTAATACCCATCAGAATATCTCTAACAGCACCACCAGCTATTCTCAATTCGTAATTGTGTTTCTTAAATAGCCCCGACAAGATGCTAAGTTCCGGTGTGAATAAAGATTTAAATAACGGGTCATCCAATGTTTTAATAACAGGATCATCTCGACTCGGTGGCATCGGGTCATTTTTCATTTTAACTTGTTGCCAATTTTGCAATGCCTTTTCAAAGTTTCAAGATGTATTACAATATTTTCTAATATAATTGTACTGGATAAATTGTTGATAGAATTATACTATTATACATTTATTGTAATTATCTTTGTACATATTTGAAATGATTAACTGTTGCTAGCGATTGCTAATAAAATCTGACATTCTTTACAAAAATTCATTTGAAATTTGTTGCAGATTGGCGGATAAAAAGTTATAACTTAACCTTAAAGAAAGATTCCAAACAGAATATAATAAACTTACCCGAAAGAAAGAACGAGAAGTAAAATAACTCGTACGAGTAAGAACTGTTAACATTGTTCAAAATTTGTTTATCATTTTTCTAAATCGTATTATTTTGTTCACAGCTTTACACTGTGCATTATTCAGCTCCTCATCGACAAACGCTTTTCAACTGTTTTCAACGTGACATAATAAATAGGATCTGGAAACAGTTATTCGTAATTTAGGAAATGAAACGAGATTAAAACAATGACCTTGAAACATGGAGATCTGCTAAAAAATCGATTTTTCATTTTAGGGGCAAATACGATAACTTCCCTATAAATCGGGAAGTTAATGACAGGGAAATCGGGAAAAGACGATAAGGGGAATAACGACTCAATTTTCGATTTTTTTTTTTCGATAATATTAAATTCTTTATTTCTCCCTTCATTATATATATATACATCATTATTTAGTACAAAAGATTTCTCATTCATGCGCAGACACACTAATAGTTAATCGCACCTAAGTAGTCTCACAAATCGTGTTTGTAGTCATTCATTTTTCGAATATCAACTGTTACGATTGCTTTTCATTATCATGTCCAATTTCTGACTTATAACGGTATAAAAATTTCATGAAATTTAATCTAATGGGTGATTCGATTCTTCGATACGTGGTGTATGTACTGTTCATAACGTTCGTCCTTATATTTCGTGTTCAATGCGTTTAAATTCATGATTTTATATACTTCATATACTGTTGCGAATTTATATTCTAATCAGCTCTTATCAATCTTGTCTGTGAATATTTTCGCAATCTAACATAGAGTAGTAACTACACGTTGCGAAAGACACCTGCGATACAAGCGCTATCTAGACTGTTACATGATGGAACAATTAACGACAGATTGTAATTATCGAAGAATTAGCAAAATTTTAGTCGAATGATACATAACGAACGAAGTTAATTCAAAACAATTTATTTCGGATTTATTTCGTTACGTTTATTCGATTCAACAGGTCAATTTTTACTTGTTCACTGTGAAATATTTCATTTTATAATTCAAATTCAAATTTTTATAAAATTATTTAAAAAAATTAAAATAAATGTAGCATATTAATCAAATGTTACTTTTCTCCTGAATTTGTCTGTTCTGGAAGGATTAAAGTTGGCTTAAATGTTTCAGGAAGTCCATCAGATGGTAATAAACAGCTTAGAAAAATAATCACAGACAGATCGAGCCTTTGGGAGTGTGATAGATTATATCACTGTACTTTTTCATCTACTTTCTGTGAACTTCAAAAAAATATTGATAGAAACGTAAATTAACGTTAATTTAAAGAGTTAGATATTTCTTAATAAATTTCTTTTTCCCATTAAACTATCCCGTATAATCTTAAAAAAGTAACTTACAAATACAGCATAAGTACAATTGGATTGAATGCAATTATTAATTACAATTAAAAATTGCTTATTTTGCCAGTACTAAGTAGTGACTTTTAATTAAAAAGATAAGGATTTTAGCGTCATCTTCCTTTGTTGTTGTTTACAGATGGAAAGAATCGAACATTTTCTGATTAATTTTTGTGAGAAATCATATTTGATTAGCTAAACAGCCGATCAAATTTGATGTAGCTTGAACAATACATACTCTCTTGAAATTCTTATTTTACAATTCCACGAGACAGAACCTCTTATCTTTTAAAACTAATTTTCATTCATTCTATCTCTCTCATTCTCATACACGTTTTATGGCTATACAAAAACAAAGTTGGACAATTTTTATTCGAATAACAATCGATGAACAAAGTATTCAAACAAATCTTTATTCAAGTAGTCATTTTTATTTTCATTAATCAATTGACTTGTCGACTGTTTTGCTCTAAATAAGGAATTTCATTGTTCTAAATTAATTGCACTATCCATTCGAATTGTAATTTTCAAATAAATAAATTGATAATAATTTATATTTCACTTTAATAGCAATAATAATTTTAATGTTAACAGTTTTAGATCATATTGAGTAACTCAAACAGTATAATATTATTTGTTTTGCAAACTTCGCAACTAAGTTTATAAATGATTATTGATTCTGCGATACAACTGTTCTTGATATTTAATTTTCGTTTTAGTTATACTTTAATCTTCAATTATCTGAAATACTGTTGTATTAAGAAGACGATTAGATTCCATATTTATTCGAATGACAATTTAATCCAAACAAATCTGTAGATAAACTTACAAATAAATAGAAAGTTATTGCGAGTAAGTTTCATTTCAAATAATTATTTATATATCAATGATACATACAACAGAAATAATAGTAATACAAGAGACACAATGATAATAGAGTAGTATTAACAGTAGTCGTAGTAGTAGTTAGTATTGATGCCGATAAGAATAATAATTTATTCGAATAACGTCCAACTCTGTAGAAAGAGTGAAATTACAATATGTACGTTAGAAACGTGGTATTTAAGCATTTTTACATGTGCATTAAGAATACGAAAATGACAGTCTCTGCGGAAAAGCCAATTGTGCCAGTTGTTGGCACATAAATTCTATGCATTATAAATACAAGTATTGCGATCATCAACGAATCATTTTTTTCATAAAATTAGAAAATAAGAGCTAATATTTAATTAGTTGAATAAATAGTTGTCAAAGTATCAATTACTTGGTAATATAAACAAATAGAACATGTACCAATGCATATTTATTTGTCGAAATGAATGATTTGTAGTGTCCAGAAAAATGGGCATTAGTTAATGATTTTTAAAAACGGATAATGTTCTTCCATTGTGTATTTGTTTCTTTTTTTTTTGTACGAAATTTCACGCCTACAAGTTCTGATATTTTGACATTTTTAATAATTTCAAACTTCAGCAATACAATATGTATACAAAATTTGTAGTAGAGATCGACTAATGTTTTATTCTTAAATATTCTTCGAACAATAATAAATTCATAAGTACGAGAAACAATTAGCTTCAAGTTATATAAATATGCTACTTCGAAATTATGAATTTACATCGTTAATTTATACGAATAGCCGAAAATTCAGTGTGCTTAAATGCGTTTAGAAAATAGTCATTTAATTATTCAAGAAAAAAAAAATAAAGAGTATTGGAAGTCTATAAATTATAAACTGATGACTTTCAATTATGTTTGATAGATTTTTTGAAATTTTGTAAAAACAGTAGTAATCGATCTCCATGCAACTAAGTATGAATCTTCTAAAATCGAAGAAAAAGAACCAAAAATGATATAATCAATGGATCTTCCATAAAAACGGTTGAATTCCCTCGCGAGATAAAGGGTATTGTTTATATAAATAATAAATGGTACTCTTACAATTTAATCGATCAATCAATCAATCCACCAAGCAAGCAACCAATCGACCAATCAATCAATCGACTAATCAATTAATTAATTACGTATTTACACAGAATACAAGATACATCGCATCATCGAGGAGGAGACTAGTTGTCTCGAAGCTCACTCACCGCTCATCGAGTACGACGATCGTCTGAACTACGAAATTGAAGGGAATTGAACAGACACCTAGCTGACTCGTGATCAACTCCACATGATTTTCCTAAAACAAACGAATTGAAATTTTTAAAATTCGTGATTTCTTTTAATTTCTGTTTCATACAAATTTGAGTAAGAAAAAAAAATAACAGATTTATCTAATACATAAAAACATGTAAAAGATATGTTTTTAGCTTTTCTCTGATTTAAATATGTTTAACTAAAAATGTAATACTAATGAAAACAATGTGACTACTTTATAGAAGTAGCAAGAATGTATAAACTTATAACGATTATTTGCAGAAATTGAAAACAGTTGCCTTTACAAGTGTAATTTATGTATTTATTTCATTCTATAAATATTCGAAGCATCGAATTACTTACGCGGGTTTAGAGGCCTTTGCAGAAGAACTCTCAGAAGTTTTCTTCTTGATGTTCCTGCATTTCCTGACGTAAGCTTCTATTAAATGGGCAATCTTTTTTGGGTTTATCTCTCCTGTCTTATTGTGGCATATCTGATAAGACAATAAAATGAAAGTAATCCTTATTTACAAATTACACATGTTACAACATGCGTTGCATACCTTGGGCACCGCTTTCCGCATAATATCCTTGTACTCTTCTTTCGTAACATGCTTTTTCGTATAGTGTGGCTTCAGTACCAATTTCACTTCTTCAACCACCCGCTCTTGACGATTCAATTTCTTTAGGAACTATGAAACAACGAAACATAATATTAATGAATAATAACAAATTATTCAGTAAACATATATTATTATGCTATTGACTCTCTATTGTAGTAAACGTTTTACTTTATATTACATAAACTGTTTCGTTCTTATAGGTAAATTTAAATTTTCCAATATTCCAAACTAACATGTATTATATTATTTTTATAGAAAAACCAAACCTTATCCTTGACCTGCATTTCAACAGCCGAACTTGGAAGATCATCCAATATTTGAAGCTGGTTCTCGTCCATTCTCACGCCAACTTTTGGATTCGTTGGTTTCTTCTTCTTATCCTTGTCAGCTTTTTTGCTTCTAGTCTGTTTCGAGGTCTTCGTACTTGGCATAATGTTGAAAAGAGCATCGAAGGGATCTTTTTTATCCGCACTCTTCGCTGTTTTCGAGCTACTAGTTTTCGTGGTTTGTGATCCAATAGGTCCTCCAGCACCTCCTGCTCCAGTTCCAGGCGAGCTATTAAAGTTTATAGGACTTGGAGGATCGAACATGCCATCGCTGAGGGTCGACCCAGGCGAATATGGCGAAGACATATCCACGTTATCTACAATTTCTGTAACAGGATCGTTGCCATTCTGTCCATTGCTCTTTGTTTGACCAGATTTACTACCTCTTAACGGTTTTCCTGAATTTGCAAAGGCTGCGGGTGCTTGGCTACGTTGTTTCTGTTGATTACTTGGTGAAATACGATTCGACTGTAACAACGTGCGTTGACTGCTATTCGTATTCGAAGCATTGAACACTCCACTTCTTTGTACAGCTGCAGCCACAGTAGCCAGTACAGGATTGATGACTCCGAAAGGATTATTCTGATTCTGTGCATTTTGTTGGCCTTGCTGCGCCTCCATGTTTCCAGTCGAAGCAGTAGTATCCTTATTGTTATCATTCTCATTAGCATCATCTCTCTGCGGAGAAGCTCTCTTAATTGTGACCATTGAAATAATCTTAGGTTTCTCCAGTTGCTTTTCTTGACTTTGCCTCTCCTGTTTCTGTATATTTTCTTCTTCGATGATCCCATCAACAGAATCATGTTTTCGCGGGGATCTTCTTCTTTCGTCGCTGGAATTTGCTTCTTGGCTTGCATCAGGTGTTGGTGATCTAGATTTCGTTGGATCAAACGGATCGTAAGCGTCTGGACTAGTCGGCGGAGAAGTCGGAGGCTCCGGGGGAGTATTTGGTCCAATTTTCAATCTTAACTCTAATTCTTCTTGTGCTCTCATTTCTAATTCCTCTTCGACCCTTTCATCCATTTCTTCCTCTTCTTCTTCATCCAAAAGTGGATTCAACATCGATGGTCGCAAGTTACTGGTCTGTTTATTTATCGAGAATTTTATTTGTGGCTCCGGAGGTGTTTTGGGACCTTGAGAGACAAACTGCTCTCTCTGCGGCGAGTTCTGCGAGGGTTGACACTGATCTAGCGCTATTTGTTGAACTTGTTTGTCATCGTCGTCGCTGAGAACTATTACATCCCTCGGAGATGGAGTTTGTTCTCTAAATGGTGATTGATCCAAATCAATTACAGCGACTGGTTTCTTTGTAGCAGCTATCTCAGCAGCTTTCGACTTCTTCTTTTTATCCTTTTTGGGTTTTGGAGATTTGGAACGCTTATCTTTTGTCTTATCTTTCTTAGAGCGTTTTGGAGGCTCAGCTTGAATGGGCTCTCTACGACGCCGTTTTAAAGGAGGAATTAAGGGAATCGTTTCTGGAAGTTCTGGAACACCTGCCTGGATAGTCTCATTATCTTTGTTGAAGCATACGCTAACCAAAATATTATCCCCACTGGCAAAAACTTCTTTCGAGGGTGGAGGAGTCCTGTTCCTTTTCCCTTTCCTCTTTTTGTCATCTTTCGACTTTTTCCCTTCTTTTCTGCGTTCTTTCTTTTTCTTTTTGATGGCTTCTTTGTTTGTTAGAATAACGGTCAGATTTTTTGGCGGGACAGCAACATTATCCAGTACCGGAGACCAATCTCTGGATGCAATCTGTTCCTGCTGTACATGCTGAGGCGATTTTGATCTAGATCTCGACCAAGAAGGTGTCCATTGAGCACTCCAAGAGTCTCTCTCTCTTTCTTCTCTTTGCCTCGAGAAATCTTGTTCCACAATTTTATCGATTTGTTCCCAGTTTCTAGAACAAGACCTCACTCTCGACCTTGATCTACTTTGTGCTTTCCTCTTCGAAAGTTTCCTTTCCCTGGACTTGGACGATTTTTTAGGCGATTTCGATCGAGACTTCTTGCGATTTCTCGAACGACTACGAGATTTATATTTCTTCTTGTCTTTACGCCTGTCGCGAGATCTAGACAAAGACCTTCTGGACCTTGATAGAGATCTTCTTTGTCTGGACCTTGAAAGCGATCTTTTCGACCTTGACACCGACCTCCTGGATCTCTTCCTCGACAGAGATCGTCGTTTTCGAGAAACAGATCTCGATCTTCTTCTAGACGAAGATCTTCTTCTGGAGGTTGATCTTCTTTTCGGTGATTTACGTCTTCCTCGTGAAAGGGATCTTCTTCTGGAGAGGGATTTCGAATAAGATCTACGATCTCTAGACCAAGATCTTTGAAGCCTAATCCTCGATCTACTTCTGGATCGAAGTTTGGAATACGATCTAGAACGTTTCGAACTACAACTCCTAGATCTGCTCCTTTGCCTCGACTTTTCTCTAATATCTCTTCCGTATTCGTCCTTCCTAGGTCTCGAAGGTCTCTCTGCAACTATTTTCCTAACGTCGTACCTAGGCAATTCTTTTCGTTTCTCTTTCTTTTTAACTACTTCCTTCTTCTTCTTTTGTTTATCTTTCTCCTTTGACTTCGATCTTTTCTCCTTATCCCTGTATGATCTTTCTTTTGTGCTTTTCGACAGTTTCTTCCACGCTACTTGGTTCTCCGAAGCAATGTTTTCTTTATTCTTTTCAGTGTCCTTGCCTCTTTCTTTCTTATCCTTCTTCTTACGTTTCTTGTCCTCTTCCTTCTCTTTCTCGACCTTCTCAGCTTCCTTGGTAGTCTTCTCTTCGACGATTTCTCCATCTTCCATTTCTTTTTCCTTACGTAGAGTCAGTAAAGTCAATTCGTCTTCAAAGTTCATTGCTTCATCTGTCTCTGAAATAGCTTCAGTACCCAAGACATTATAATCCACCGGAGTTCTGCAGCTGTCTAAATCGTCAAGCTTGTCTTTCGTTGGCGTGATTGGTTCTAAACCGCTTTCAAGAGGCGGTAGCTGTTCAAACGAAGACCTTGATTCCTTCAAAGGAAGTTCATCCTTGCAAGGTGTGTACGCTCCATCATTAGATTCCCAACTGCTTCTATTACAAGCTTCTCCGACTACAGTTTCCTTGTCTGATATTCCTCCTTCCTTATCCGACGTTTCTTTCTCTTTATCTGACGGTTCCTTTTCAATAGGAAATTTTTCTTTTCCGTTTTCATTCTCGATCTCATTTTCCTCTTCTTCTTCGCCCTCTTCATCCTCTTCCTCTTCCTCTTCCTCCTCCTCATCTTCCTCATCTTCTTCGCCCCCTCGACGCTGTTCCTTTTCATCTTTTTTATTATTCTCTACATCAGCCGTCACAATATTAACTTTATTGGGCTCTTCCTGCATTTTAGATGACTCGATTGGACATTCGTCGTCGATAATCTCGATCGTTGGAATCTTGGGATGCGGAGTGGAAGTTTCACTACCTTCTTCCGATGATGGTATCGACACACATTCGTTGCTTAACTCATTTTCCAGCTTTGGAGGGGATAATCGAATTCTCTCGGGAGGTACATCTATATCAGAGATCTTTTCTGTTTCTTCAACTGTAGAAATCGCTGCTGATTCTTCCTCTTTTTGTTCCCCGTCTGTATCTTTCTCTTTAACATTTGGCGGATTTGCGAATATCGATAACTCCTCTGGAACTTCCTCTTTATCCTCTTCAGATTGAGCTTCTTCCTCGAACTTGCTTTTAGCGATCTTCTTTCGTTCTTCGTCGCGATCGATGTGGGTCTCTTCCTCCTTTACTTGCTGCAAACACAATTTAATGAGAAATATTAAGTGACGAGCTAAGTAACATTTATACCTCAAGGATTGGCCTCGCACTAGCGTGGAACTGGGTATTTTTGCATCACATGCTGACGCGAGATCGATCCGTAAGGCACTTGCATCCCTTAAACAATATCGTACCCTTCACGAATTAATTTATCAAAATAGTTTGTTACTCACTTCAACTTCCTTCTTCTTCTCGCTCTCGTCCTCCTTCTCTTCTTCCTCTTGCAGTCCCAACAATCTGTTATTAATCTTCAATTTAGTTCCGATTTTGAAAGTAATTTTCCCTCTGCAGTCGTGAGAAATTTTTTTCGGCGGAATTTTACTAAGTGTCTGTCTTTCTTTCCTCAGGGCTTCGACATACGGGTCCGACGGTTCTGGAATATCCGCGAGATCGCAAGCCTGAACATCGCCAACTATGACGTCGTCGTCGTCTGGAATCGAAGGTGGAAGAGGAGGTGGTTCGAGAGGTCCTATCTGTTGCGATAATTGTTGTTCGGTATGACGCGCCACATCCATCGTTTGAGAAGAATAGATAGAGAAATTTGGACAGTCAGCTTGGGAGTCTTCTTCGTCGTCGTCATCGTAAACTGATAAACGTGCCAACGTATCCGAAGGCTCGGGTTGTATAACGCATTCTACAGTCTTCTCTTCTTTAGTTTTCTTTACAACCTCTTCGTTCTTTTTTATTTCACTATCACTGTCACTATCCACAGAGAAAGGATCGTACTTGTCATTCTTTGGAGTGTCTTCTTTTTGACTATCATCGATAACTAATTCTTGATCGCTGTCTTTGTCGCTTCTAGAGTTCTCTTCGAAGTCTAGGAGACCCGACGGTGGTTCTGGAGGTGGCAACAACGCCACCGAGCCGTTCTGCTGGTCTTGAAGTTCTCCATCGGATTTAGTCTCTATATCACAATAGATATCGCAATCTTCTTCTGGCCTAACAGAAACATTCTCGGCATCTTGGGGTTGCTGTTCCGTGGATTGACTTCCAGCGGTGTCTTCTGGTAAGTTTGCTGGCATATTATTTTGAGGCCGATCGATAGGAGCTTGAGGAGATCTAGGACGATTAAACCTTTCAGGAAAAGAGTGGTGCTCGAAACCTTCGCTGAAATTGAACGGAGGTCTTCCAGGAGGCATGAAACGAAATCTGTAAATAAAATTGTAACAAGTAACTGTAACGCTCGACTTAAAAATGCAGTAAGTAATTTTCGTTTCTAACGTTAGTAGGTTCTAGAAATAAATGTACCTTTCGTTTCTGAAGTGTTGAGGGTTTCGATTCCTAAATGGAGGAGTTCCTCCAAACATTGGGGGCCCGCAATGTTCAAAGTTCGGATTATAAAATGCAGGCGGTCCGAAATCTCTTCCGAAATTACTTCCACTTCCGCCATAACTGTGTCTTCCACTTCCGGGTAAAGAATCTCGTCCATAATTCTGGCCTCCATGGCTGTGCCTTGTGTTATCTCTGTAACCACCTCTGAAGTTACCTCTGTTCCCCCCTCCGCAAGGATTATTATACATCGGAGCCTGTATGATCAACTCTGGATTGATTCCAGACACTTCCAATGGGCTATTGGTTCCGGAAGCTCTATTCTCTACTACGGATACTGTCTCTTCTACTTCAGGCGATTTTTCTTCTTCTACATTCTTCTTCTTTAAATTGTCAGTATTTTCCTTTTTCTCAGCCAAGAGAAGACCATTAGCTTTAAGAATTATGTTATTATTCTTTGAATGCCAAACTTCTTGATTGCTTATTATGCTGCTTAAAAGATCAGCTTGTGGTGGCTGAGGATTAACGATGTTTTTTAAACGAAGCTGTCTACGAGAAGAGATCGCTGATCGTCTGTGAATGGTCATGGTAGGCCCAGTTCCATTGTAATCCTCTATATCAGATCTAGAAGAAAGGAGTTTTGACAATTTCACTGATTTTTATTAATTAATTATGCGACTCAAAAATATTTTTATCTAATGAATCATAACGAATTGTAAATTCGATATTCGTTGACCTTTATAATAACCTTCGACGCGGGTACAAAAAAAAATTTGATATTACAGTTTAATATCGATATTTCAACTGATAAATAGGAAACTGGATAATGATCAAATACAGTGTAGGAAGGAAAATAAAGAAAAAGTAGAAAAAATTCAAAAGGGACAAGGTTCTTACGTTTTTCCTGAAGAGGACCATCACTATCAACCAAAATTGATGCTTTCATTTTTCTTTTTTGTATCCACATCGAAGACTGTTCTAAGGATCAACGAATATCGAATTTACAATCTACACTATATGAAACAACCAAAGAACAAGACAATTTTTCTATTAAATGATTAATTAAAGTACTGCATTTACCCTGGAGGACTATAACTCAAGTCAAGATTATCTCCAAGTAGACTAAGCCTCGAGATTCCAGCATTATATCGAGTAACGTTCAACGAGGATCTTTCTGAGAAAACTGGGCGATTTTTTACGCTAGGTATTAAAGCTGGAACACCCTTTATAGGTTTGCAAATACCTAAAGAAACTGCGAGTCTCTTTTTGGAACTAGCTAAAACACTGGACACAGTTCTAGCTTGACGTCTAACTTTTCTTCTCTATAAAACAAAATGTTATTTCACTCACTCCTTCGTTTAATTTGAAAGTTACTTTTCAAAACTTGGAATTTAAAATACAATGGAATTTATACAATCAAAGTAAAAAGAATTAAAATACCTTTCTTCCTTTTCTTCTCCTTCTTCTTCTCGTAGACCCAACCGAAGCCACCTTTACAAAAGTTACAATTTCTTCTTCTTCTCCGTCTTCGTTACATTCCGTAATTCTAACTTCTCTTAATAGCGTGTCCCTACTAGAAACTTTCTTAGATCCTCTCGTTTTTTTCGATTTATTTCTACTTCCACTTCTCCTCAAGTTACTTCTAGACTTCTTGTTACCGGTACTTTTCCTCGAAGTACTTCCACTTTTCTTGGAGCCTTCCTTGGATTTACCGTTATCAGAATTTACAGAATTATTACTATTATTGATTCCCCGTTTAGTTTTCGTTAAAACATTTTCGTCGCTAGTATCGCTCGATCTACTTCCAGATCTTTGGGGTCTCCGCGATTTTCTAGAATTTCCACTTAAACAGTTTCGATCCCCGGAACCTAAAGAGTTAGAGGCATTGCTTGGGGAAAGACTTCGACTGTTGTCTCCAAAAGACTCCAAACCAGAAGAGGTAGAAGGTTGGCTTGGATCAAGTGCTAATTGACGGGTTGGTTGTGAACTGTCATAAACTCTATTTCTTCTGTTAACACAATTACATTAAATGATTTCGTAATGTTTATTAAAAAAATACAAAAAATGAAATTTTATTATACAGAATTTAGTGAGAAGTCGTATTATATTATTTATTTATTTTTATTCTTCTTAGTACCTGCGAATAGTAGCTCTAACACGTTCTGTATGCCTAGTGCGAGGTACGATTCTTGGTTGAGAATTTTGAGGCGCGCCAGTACGCGTTCTGCCATAAGAAACGCCGAGTCTGCGAGCCTCTTCCATTAAATCTGGTATTTCATCTAAATCAATTTCCACCTAGAAAAATATTTAACATTAAATTTATTCTTGTACAAATATTGACAATAATCATTCCAAATGTTAAACTGTAGAAATCTTACAACTTCCGCGTCATTTTGACTGTTCTGTGAACATTCTGGACAAAACCATTCCTCCATGGGTACTTCGTTCATTGGAGGAATTAAGCACTCTAAATGATAACCACAGTCGCATCCGTCGCAAAGAAGCATGCGATCCTCCCTATCGCTCAGGTGGCATACTTCGCAAAATGTAGGATCCTCCAGTGGTTCGTCCTCTACACGAGGTGTCACGTCGACTGGGACATGTCTCGTAATCTACGACACGAATGAAATAACTTTACTTTTGTCAACCATTGATAATACAATCATACTAATTCTAAAGGTTGTACCTGTCCACCAAGTGCGTCTCTGACATGGATTGCTGTAAAGGTTTGGCGATCTACTGGACAAGTATTTATATTTTTACTCCATTCCATTAAACATTCTAAGCAGAAGCAATGCTCGCAAGAAGAAGGAGTGCCTAATTGTTGCTTTCTAAAAGGAAGCAAGCATATAGGACACTTTTCTACTTGGTCATCGCTGGTGTCTGTATCTGTATCCGATACTATTATTTGCAGCTTTTTGGATTTTGATTTCTCAAGTAGCTTTCGCTTAACGGGAGCTTGTTGTTCTGATTCTGACGAACTGCTCCAGTCTGACTGCCATTCTGAAGTATCATCTGAACTGCTACCTTCGTAACTTGTCTCATTTTCGGTCTCATCGACTCTCTGATGCATAAAAACAGATACATTTTTCATTTAAAATATGTAAAGTGAAATATATGACAAATTTATAAGTCAGTTGGTATTATATTGTACTAAAAGTGATTAAAGGTATGAGATATATCTTACAGGGTTCCTTCTTCGAACAATTGGTCTCAGAACATCACTATCTTCGTCGCTGCTTTCACCTTCGCTAATAACTCTCTGCAAATGTAAAATTGAAATTAATATTACATGTAATTAGATTAATGTAAAATCTTTATACATACAAAAGTCTTTTTCCTTCTACGTAAGTTCACTACAGATTCATCGCTATCTTCGCTATCAGGTATGACATATTTCTTCCGCTTGCCCGATTTGGGGATCTGATCATTATCGCTGGACATTTTAACTTCTTTGTAAAATCATACCCGCCTAGTCACATGTCCTACACACGACAACAAAAAGAGAAGATTGTTAATGAACAATATTAAATCATACTGTAAAATTTGTACATTCAATCTTATTTGCTTGAAGTTTAAACTTCTTTTTCTTTTGTTACAGGTTTTGTCAATTTTATATATTAATATATATGTTCAAATATGGATTTTATATGAATTCTATTATGATACAGAGTATTAAAGGGTTAAAGATAATAACTTTCTTATTTCATAAAGCATGATTGATGTTTTTTATATTACAGAATGATCTGGAATTTAAAAATATAAATACATGATATGTTGGATTAGATATGTCACTTATTATTCTGATGTAAATATTAATTATTGCTTTTAGTCTTCAAGATATAATTATTAAATAGCTTCTATTGTCTTTAAAACAGAACTATACTAATCTAGATCACTACTTTTCATATGTAATGTTTTAAATTAATCTAGTTCTGTCAATAAGACAATAAAGATGAATAAATAATTCCAGGTTGAAAATAAATTGTACCTGTAATTTTTTTCATCGTGCCCTTAGCAACAGGCAAACTCACGTGAAGTGAATTTGTGCTATAACTCAGATTGTAAATAATTATCATTTGAAAACTAAAAATGAGCAATAAATACTTTTTGCTTTATAACATTTGTGGTCCTCACCATAAAACTTACTTCGAGGCAATAATATTGCGGATAAAGACTAAAATTAAATTTAATATTACAATTACATTCGATTTGTATGTCAATTCTGACAACTTGAGAAAAATAATCAACATCGGAATTACATCATAATTTGTTGAATCAAAGCACAATAGAAATAAAACTTGATACATAGAGACTTAAATGAATCCAAACAAAACATAAGTGTATTTAACGTAGTTACAGATTTAAATAAATTGAAAATCAATATACAATAAAATTACATGAAAATTAGAAAATCATGTTATAACCAAGTCTCATTCAAATAACACCCAAACAAATTGTTATTTACCAACTTGAATCACAATTCAGCTAACATAGCTGATGAGGACCTGTAAACAGCCCACGATAATTATATACTCAAAATTCATTGAAATACTTTGTGAGTCACTGTATATAACCACATTAATACACTATTAATTTTTGTTCTTCAACGAATATCGCAAAATCGATTATTCTATGGCACAATACGAACGGCCAACATTTTTCTCCAAAGGATCATTCATCTGGGACTGTCGGAAAGAGTCCTGCGACGAATTTTTGATATTTCTAATGAAATTGCACTGAGAGTAAAGAAGAAGGATCGAGCAGTATCGAGGATGAACCTAGAAAACGTCAATTTACCTTCTCAATTTCAGAGATTCCGTGTTATCACTGTATCGAAGGAATCCGATATCGATCGTACATCATCGACGATTTAATTATTGACTGATTCGATGTTGACTTCGATGGAGATTCACAAATGTTGACAGAGGGTACGCTTAGAGTTAAGAAATTGCCGACATTTTGGCTGCCGACGCCGTTCACGACGTTGCGCTATTTTCTCGCTGCTCGACTGATCATTCGCAATTGTCTTAATTTTGTGGACACTCGCGCGACAAAAAATAATAATTCGATCCGGGGAATATTTTTATCCCGATAACATATTATTAGAAAATTCCTGATCTCTGCGAGGCAAAAGCTTTACAGATGGATACTTGGACACGATGGTATACATCCGCCGGAAACTTCAAACAAGCAGTGCATTTGACTTTAACTTTTAGGAATTTATCAAATATATGGTTAATACTTCGTTTGGCGAAGTCTTTGATATTGTTTTGTGGTAACTTATGGTCTTTACATTGTTAAATTAATTTTTTCTCCCATTCCTACATTACTAAATTGTATTTTTATAATACAATACTATTTATAATACGTGGAATCAATGTATTATTATGTATCCACGTGTAATTCCTTCTAAAGTAATTAATTAATGTACCGAACATTCCAACCAATTCATTTTTAGCTTTAAATGTAATTTTTTAAAATAATTTCTAATAATTCCTCTAATACGAATTTTCCCGCCGAAATTTTGAATTAATACATGGTTCCACTATTTGCTGAGCGAGACGAAAGAGCGCTGCTGTCTCTTGTCGAAGTAAAGCACACAAAGATGGGTCGTATGCACGCACCAGGGTAAAGTAAATTCAATTTTAATATAATTTACTCCTAAGAACTCTTCCAAATACTTTTTCTCTATATAATTTTTATTTTTTTAATTATTATAAAGTCAATTCGTAAATTCCTTGTATCAGAAACTGTCGAAGCAACGGTTTGCTAGTGGCCATGTGTTCTTTATTTAAATTGATAATAAATGAATTTTCTCTGTTAATTTAGGTATGTTTCTTTACTCTTGATGTAAATTTGGCCAATTTAAAGTTTACAATTGAGAAAATTAGTACATTCATACCTTTAGTACATGATTCATACCTTTGTGTGTACATAACCTCAACATTCTATTGAACATTTTGGACTTCTTATACCTTCACAAAATTAAATCAATGTTTCTGTTAAATGTTTTTGGTATTTTTCTTATTACATCATTGTTGAATACATTATAACAAAAATTTGCAATGTTGTAGAAAGGGTATATCCCAGTCAGCGTTGCCATATAGACGCAGCGTACCGACATGGCTCAAGTTAACACCGGAGGATTGTAAAGATTTGATTTATAAGCTAGCAAAGAAGGGCCACACACCATCTCAAATTGGTAAACCTTTCCTTCAATTTAAAACAGTAAACTTCTACAAACTCATTGTAAAATAATAATTTGTATTATTATTATTACTAAACATTCTGAATTGTATATAAGCTTTATTTATGCAAACTATACAAGATTCAAAGTTTTGTTATTGTATCTTAGTATCAAAGTTTGCAATATTAAAAAGTACATGGTGATTTTTGAGGTGATTATGATTTTTTGTCTTTTCATCATAGGTTTCACCAACACTTCAAAATTTTCTTTAGGAATATAACAGTTGCTAAAGTGTATTTATATATTTATATCTTTGTCATTGAAAGTTTACAGTATAGAAAAGTAGAATAACGATTAAATCGTAATTGATCAAAATTTCTAGGTGTAATTCTCAGAGACTCTCATGGAGTGGCACAGGTGCGTTTCCGTACTGGAAACAAGATCCTGAGGATTGTCAAGAGCATGGGACTCGCTCCAGACTTACCAGAGGATCTCTATTACTTGATCAAAAAAGCAGTCGCCATTAGGAAGCACCTGGAAAGAAATCGCAAGGACAAGGACAGCAAATTCAGATTGATTCTTGTAGAGTCCAGAATCCATCGGCTCGCCAGATACTACAAATCGAAAGGAACTCTGCCAGCTAATTGGAAATACGAGAGCTCCACTGCTAGTGCTCTTGTTGCTTAATTACTTTCTTGCATTTCTTAATAAAACAAAATCCTAAATATCACTTATTTGCGGTTTATTCACCATACTTTTATTTAAGCTTAAGTACAAATGCGGTATTTAAAAGAAAGTAACTGAGGTGTGCTATTATTATACATATGTAATTTTTCTGTTTAATAATTGGATCTTTGAGAGAACCGTATTAGTGAATTGATGATGTTTTCATGATGTTTTAGGACCCGTATGAAGAGCTATATTATATTTTGTTCGCTTAAAAGGAGAAACTATGAAACATTTGGAACATATGTATTTAACTTAGGGAATGAAAATCGTAACTACATAAATCATTAATGATAGTGCAGCTATATTAGTTTACGTGGAATAAGTTGACAATCGCTCATTGTTTGTGTAGAATTTAACTCATATCTTTCACTTTTGCTGTCCCAGTTCTGACGTCAGGCCCGTGCAGGAGAGGGGTCCAACGTCAGGTCCATCACAGCGCATGCTTGGCCTTCGTCCTCGACTTTTCTCGAGGACGGCGCATGCGTTCACCAAGATGGCGGCTGGGTTCTCACTCTTCAGTGGGCAAGGCTCTTCCAAAGCTGCGCCATATTAAAAAACCTCAGAAATATTTCGTCGGTTTTTCGGTCGGTTAGAAGATTTCAATTTCCATCAAGAAACCGTCTATCATTCCGCGTTCGTTCGATCGAGGTGAAATTGACGGACTTGGCGCGTGAATTCGTCGGTTTTAGGAAGTGAATTATGGGTAACGGAGAAGACGCGAGTGCCTTTGACGTTTGCGAACCATATTGAAAGGCATTTTGGAGAAGTTTCGTTGTCAAAGAGAGGTATGCTGATTAACAAAACGGAAAGATAACGTTATTAATAAAGTCTTAAGGGAATTTTTTAACACTGTAACAGCTGTAGTGATTAAATACTAGGGACCATTGTGCGCTATATAGTCTCGGTGATTTGAATGCTGGTAGCACCAATGGTATTTCCCTTTTTTCCGTCGACTGTAAAAATTGAAATTGCAAGCGATACCTTTCGATTACAATGCGCTATATGAACGCTAAAAATAAATTCCAACGGCTTGTAATCGCGATAAACGGAATTTACGAAACGTTTAGAGATTTTAATACAGTCGAAATGTGTACGAAATTGTATAACATATGGGATTGGTTGCTTGACATATGTCTCAAACGTTTCGAAGATGTTCGCTAAAGAAACGTTTTCTCTTCCGTATTTCGCGAAATCGAAGTAGGATTATTACGAATTGTAACGGGTAAAAATTTATCGTACAATTCGTGAAATTCAAGCATTTCACTTATCGTTGCATCAGAACCATATGAATTCGTAAATGTGAAGTATACTTATATGGAAATAATCACGGCGAAGAAGAATTATATTATTTTCGATAATTCGTGGGTTTGATAAATAATTTTTCGAGAAATTTATTATTTCAATGGTGCAATTTAAAAATACTGTTCGCTCGAAGGTTTAGATTATTCGGCCATTAATGAAAGTGAAAGTGCGCTGGTATCGCGGAGATATTTTCATACTAATAATAATAATAGCACTGATAACAGTAATAGTAAAATAATTCGGATAATAATCGAATATCGCGTAACGAAAATTAAGCACATTAACGCTATAATAGATATTTTTAAACATTATCGTAATATTAAGGTACTTTATTATTTTAATGGTTGTTATTCTTCTATTCGTTACGTATATCTACAATGTGACCGATTAAAATACGTTATCATTGCCCTGGATCGTTCGTAATGCTACAATTATTTGTTTACGACAATTACAGAACTTTCTTTAGTTTATGTTTCGCTACATACTCTATTCGATACATTTTCTAAATTAAATCGAAGATCGGGTGTATTTAACTGGAACTTATAGCGACTTCTGTGCCGTAGAATTCGTCCATTGCGAGAGATTTCAACGTCGCTAGCCTGCACAAGCGATGTCGAGTGCGAATGCTCCGAATTAGTAACAGGCCAAATTTTATTCGAACAATAAGCAACAAACTTCAAATTTAAAAACAAATATAAAAATGATTTTTAGTTGAAATTTGCTTCTCCGAATAGCACGAATAATCGAACCGGTTGAATTTTACCGAGCTACTTGAAATATTCGAGTACGGGTCTCGTGTGCGCGCATGTTCGACCCGCGAGACGCGTATGAACTTAAAGCAGTGGCTCTCAGCCACTCGTTGTCGCGAATTTTTGGCGACAGAAATTTTCTACGATTTTTGAACACCTGTTAGTGATATTTATCTGTTTATTATCATTTTAACAAATTTAACACTTTTAATATCGTTCAAAGAACATATTATAAAGAATTTCTCAAAAGGTGCTCTAGGATCTTGGTTTTTAATCATTTATACATTTATAGATAAAACCGCGACAAGTACAAAACTAATTTCAATTGATAACGAATAACAATCGTTTGTATGTAATGGATACTTTTATATAGATAAAATGTTAAACAATTGTTTGTTCTGTATTGCTTCGAGTCTAAATGAAGTAATTAATATGTTATACAGTGTGTTTCGTTTATCTAGCAAAGTAAATATCTCGTGACGCACTGAAGTTACGAAAAAAGTTTATTTACAAAAATTGTTCGGTTTGTGGGGTACGATCGTATGATGTAATTTTTTTCGAGCCTGGAATAGTAGGTAGGGGGGATTTCAAAGTCAAAATAAGCTTTTTTCGAAACGAATTCAAACTGTACAGTAACAGCAAATTAAATACTGTCACAGTATTTAATTTGCTGTTTCCAAACGTTAGAAATTATATTATAAACTCGTAACGTTTTGAGTAAGCAATGGTAGGACATATCGGGTTGCCGCGGCTATTAGCTGCAACACTGTTGTCATTTGTTTTGATGTGTTGCGATGTTTGGCTCGAGTCTCATTTATTTTAGTTGAGAAAGTGCAAGAGATCTAGTCAGACTACTAGAGATTAGTAAGAAAGAGAAAGAAAGGCCTCGAGTGCAAAGGATTGACCTATTATTGAATTCTCGTTATGACAATAATTTAGGATTAAGAACCACGCCAGAAGTTTCTCCCTTCTTCTCCGCCTAGCTGTGAATTGTGCCGTTAGCCATAAATATTTTTGTAAACTGTGCCACGCGACCGGGACGAGAACCACTGACTTAAAGGGACGAGCATTTGTATTCGATTCACGGTACGGCATACAGCACAGGCATTCGTTCGTTTAAGCGGCGCGGAAAACCCGACTCTGACCGATACATTCTAAAAATCCTTCAAAATCTCTTGCCAGCCGAGACGTCGCGGCTGCATAGCCGTTCCATGAGTTGTCGTACGTATATTTGCTCGCTGTGCTATGGGAATATGCGAATACGGTCGAACTATGCGCGAAAAAGGGGGGCAGAGAGTACCCTAATCATCGCTGGAACGATTCAGAAACAGGAATAATGAATTTTCCTCGAGGAACTTGGAGTTTTGTCTTTCGTGCGATTAATAGCCGTATTAAACGTAAGACGTTCATTTCGAGACTCTGTATTCCGTCATTCGTAACTTTCGTTTGTAAATTCAAACGAATGTGTTCGTTCGCCATTTCGGTACGTTAAAGTAACCGCCGGTACCTCAAAGTCTCAACCTTGGTGGACGTTTGGACAGACTTGGGAAGCTAACACGTAAAAAAAATATGTTCGTTATTAACTGAAATTAATTTTGTATCTATCACGGTTTTCACATTACAAACACGCGGACACGCTAATATTGCGTTACAAACTAAGATTAACTGTACCGAGAAGAATCGTAATAATGTCGTTCTACTTGATACAAATTTTCTATCGAGCAAATTTATGAATGAAAAATAGGAATTTTGCCGGAACAACAGTTATAAACTACATGAAAATAACAATAGTTATAAACAACAAGAAGAAAATAGGAATTTTGCAATCACAATAGTTCTAAATGAAAAGTAAAATAATTTTTGCAAAGTGATCACCTCGAAAACGTGTCCGGCAGCAAAATGTAAAAGGTTTCATCGATTTCGTCGAATTCGACATACGTGAAATAGTACAATTGACGATAAAAAGTGCGATAAAGTGGGAAAAAATGGAAGTAGGTCAAATGTCTTTTTAAGCTTTTAAGAGGCAACGAAGCCCTACCAGATGCAAGAAGATTCAATCCGATCGGTCAATTCGTTTCGGAATAAGAAGCAATACAAAATTTTTCAGCTTTTTGCAAAAAGAAAAAAAAAAACTGGTAAAAAGCGAGAAATTCCAAATTTGTTTGACAATGGGACCACCCTCGAGACATGCTCTGCAAGATGCAAGAGGTTTCGTCCCGATTGGTCAAGCCGTCTGAACGTAATCGAGTAACATACGTAAAAGAAAGAAATACATGTCGAATCGAGTGACCTCCTCCTTTTCGAAGTCGGTTAAAAAGTAGGGACGTCTAATCCATGAGTGATACAACGAGTAATGGTTATTACAAGGAAATTTCGTTGGTCATCTGGTGCTTGTATCCGCACGACTATACAAACAACGACTATACCCAACAATGTTTGGAACTCCTCGAATGGAGTGATTCGAGGGGTGATTTGAAACAACTTTTATTCTGATACCTGCCAGCGACTCGAGATGCTTTCTTAGCGTTCTACTGTCGCTCAGCTTAGATACGACTTCGAAAATGAGATCTCTAATTTGAAATTTGAAAATCAGCTCACCTTTGCGTCAACGACATTCATTTTATCGACACTTCGAGATCCATATTAATGAAACCTAAAGAAACATTAGGTTACATCGTAATTACATCGTAGATTTGCTGCGTGAAACCTAATGGCGACCGAGAGCCACTCTTCTCGAGTGCAAGGAGTTAACGAACTCCGTAAGTAGAATTGGCGAGGAATGGTCAGACATGAATGAGTTGCATCGTATCCCAGACAATATTAACCCTTTGCACTCCGAGGCCTTTTTTTCTGGTACCTGCTAGCAACTCGAGACGCTTCTTAGCATTTTATTGCCATGAATTCTAAGCTATCTAGATTTGAGAATAACGTCACCCTTACCTCACCGGCAATCATTATATCGACACTTCGAGTTCCAAAGAAACGAAACCTAGAGGAACATTAAGCATTGCGCATAGATTTTCTGCGTGAAACCTAATCACGTCCATCAAGTCACCTCTCGAGTGCAAAGGGTTAATATATTATTCTATATGTACGATATATTAATTACTTCATTTAGACTCGAAGCAATACAGAGCAAACGTTTATTTAATTTTTTTAACTATATAAAAGCATTCATTATACATATAAAAAAAAAAATGATATTCTAATTATATCGTATCGATTGCGGTTTTTATCTATAAATATATAAATGATTAAAAACCAAGATCCTAGATCTCCTTTTGAGAAATTCTTTACGGTGCACTCTTTAAACGATATCGAAAGTGTTACATTTGTTTCAGTATCGTTAACTGCTTGCAGCGGAAAAGATGACAATAAACGTCATTTCAAAATCAAATAATTTCAGTAATAGGTGTTTAACGTTCGCCGTGTCCCGTATTCCAAAACAAGAACGCCGAGAATTTCTCAAACGAAAGGTGACGCGGCTAATACGACGGAATATTCCATTTCGTTTTTGGCAATCGATTGGAAAGCGACCTATCGACCACGTCGACGAAAGTTGAAAGTTGTAATAATTTAACAACGTATACGAAAATATCCCGAAGAAGTCGTGTCATACGATCGACATACAATTAACAAAGAAGCAACCGTTTAACGTGTATTTATTGTATTTATATTTTAAAAGTTTCACGAATCTTCCACAATAAGCGTTTACAAGTTTTCCATTCGGAATA